TTAGCAGAAAAAGGGAGGCTGGGTGAAAGTAGGTGGCCTGCACAGCACAGCGCTTTGTTGGGTTTTGCAAGGCCACTTGGGAGATAGGTAACCATTTGTCTTAGAGCCACCTCCACTCCGATGATAACAGGCTGCCTTACAGTCTGCATACACTGGCTAAGAGCTGTAAATGCTTCTGCAGACACAGGCCTCTTGAATATCTGGAGACAGAGGCCAATAGAGGATTAATAACTTGGGGAGGTGGCTTTAAAAGGGAATTAATTAACTGTGCTAATGCTTGGAGATAAAGCAGGTTCACGTCTCCTAGCCTCAATCCTCCCAGCACTCAGGACTTGTACATTGATCATGAAAGCATTACTAGAAGGCTTTATGTGAATATTCAAAAAAGCCTTTTAAAAGTCCTACTGAATACTGGACAGAGAGAATTCAGTTTTTATAAAATGAATTCAGTGCTGGGCATCTTCAGTTTGGTTAATTCTCAGGATCATGGAAGAAAGAATGAAAAGGCTAACAGGCAACTCCTGGGAATATGATATAAGGAGCATTATCCTTACTGGTTTTGGACAATAGCTGGGACAGTTGGGAAATTTGTTTGCAAGAAATGTCAGAAATAGAAGAGGCACTTTGTTCCTGCATTTCAGTATAGTTACAACAACAACAACATATATATATATATATAATGGGAAGTTCAGATGTACAAGATACATCTACATGGTTTCAAGTAATACCCCTATCAGAGTTAGTTGCTTTCTCAGCCTTGTTGCCACTATGAGGAATTTTGCCACTAAGAATCACCCTATGGTACTTGTCCTCTAAAAGGTATCTAACAATCCTCTACAGGACAGGATTGGATATAAAAGTTGGCTACGTTGCATTGTATAGTAGTGGCACTGCAATAAAACGTGTTCTATAGTTTCTATTTCATTTCTTCTACGGGGGCAGTATAGTTACAATGTATATATGTACTATATATTTCAATTACCCATAAATGTGCAAGAATATTATTAAGTAAAACACTGCTATTAATTTAATGTTGAAACTAATTAATCTTAGCAAGATCCATGCCTTGAGATTATCTCTAAAATACACAAATCTGATGACAGACAAACCCCATGTGAGTATTTGGTATGGAATAAAAACAGTACCATACAGTGAAGAATGATGCCATCCTTGCATCTGTGACATCTGAAAAATCGTAAATTCCAAAATAAACCTAAATTAACTGAAGATTTAAAAATTTAAACCAAGATTATGGCAACAAGAATGATTGACAACTGGAAAATAGAGGGAGAAAATGTGGAGGCCGTGACAGACTTTGTATTTCTAGGCGCAAAGATTACTGCAGATGCAGACTGTGGCCAGGAAATCAGAAGACGCTTACTTCTTGGGAGGAGAGCAATGTCCAGTCTCGATAAAATAGTAAAGAGTAGAGACATCACACTGGCAACAAAGATCCACCTAGTCAAAGCAATGGTATTCCTTGTAGTCACCTATGGATGCGACAATAAGGAAAGCTGAGTGAAGGAAGATAGATGGATTTGAACTGTGGTGTTGGAGGAAAATCCTAAGAGTGCCTTGGACAACAAGAAGATCCAACCAGTCCATCCTCCAGGAAATAAAGCCCGGCTGCTCATTGGAGGGAAGGGTACTAGAACAAAGTTGAAGTACTTGGCCACATCATGAGGAGACAGCAAAGCCTAGAGAAGACAATTATGCTGGGGAAAGTGGAAGGCAAAAGGAAGAGGGGCCGACCAAGGGCAAGATGGATGGATGGCATCCTTGAGGTGACTGGACTGACCTTGAGGGAGCTGGGGGTGGTGGCTCTGGCGACAGGGAGCTCTGGCGTGGGCTGGTCCATGAGGTCACGAAGAGTCGGAGACGACTGAACGAATGAACAACAACAACAACTGAAGCTATTTCTAGTATTTCTGAATTCACAGCTTGCATTTGCAAAGGCATGGAAGTGACTATGTTGTCAACTGTTCCTGTTTTTTCTACATCTGCTTCCAGTGACCTTCTTATACTTGCTAATTTCACTTCTGAATTAGCAGCAGCAGAAATATTTACCTGTTTTACAGTTGGCCTTCTTGTGAATTATTTTTGATATGTGTATACCTTCTTAATTGACATTTGTTGTTTTATTACTGGACCTGGATTGCGATCTGCCTTGCATCATTTTACAAAAAGTAAAATTATATCTGCATCAATGATAATATTTGCATTGAGAGAATAACTACAAATCTGGATACTACTACATTGCAAAAATACCCCTCGCTTCCCCCTTCAGCACTCTACTCTCAAAGTCTGTATATCCCTCAAATACACTTTATGACAGAAGCCCCTTGGAAACTCTTTCAGATTTATAGCACTCCATGAAAGCCAAACTGCTCCAGGTGCTACTGCTACTTCCTGGCACAAAACTTAGAAAGCTCATGCACAACTTTCAGATTGTTCTTTAGACTAGTCGGCTATTCCTGCTCTTTGAGGCTTTCCTGGCTTCTTCTGCAACTTCCATGTAGGTGGCCCATGTAATAACACCACCGTACTTGATGGAAAAGGAGCTATGTCACAAACTGCTCTGCTTCTGACAAAGATGACAAATGAATGATTGAAAAACACATGAGCTGCAGTACAATTCCTAACATTGTCCAGAAAAGCCAGTGGAGGAAAAACTTAATGGCTTAACCCTTTTTTGTTTGTTTTGGTGCCTCTTTACAATAACAGATGAGAGTAGATAATGTTAGCACTAATACTATTTTATGAAACAAAATCAATTAGGGTTCCCAGCTGTGATTGATTACTGATTCAGCTCAGGAAAGATAATCAAGAATGGAAAAGGTTACTTCAGCATGTTTTTAGAATGCTTATAAAGTTCCCAAATTCAATGTAAGAAAGAATAATTCATTGCCGAATATATGAAAGCTACAAAAATCAGAACCTAGCCTAAACTTCACAGACTTGACATTGCAACCTCTTAGTTTTTGTATAACATTAATATTCTCAAATATGTTTTAAGGGAGAAGAAAAAAATAACAACATCAATGATAAAACAATGACTTTTCATTGCACGTCTGATCTAGGAATTTTCATGACAAATCTTCCTCCATTCTGGAGGCTGCTACAGTCTATCCTGCCAAAGTAACAAATTGCTGACTATGCATCCTAGTGCAATAGTTTAGCCCACCAAAAAGTTTAACCTAACCTCTCAGGACATAAGGTTACAGTTAACAAGACCCCATTTAGATAAGAGAAAGCAATATTGAGGATGGAAAAGGGCAACAAAATACTTCAAACACTATAAAAATTCTTCTATCATCAGCAGTCTTATCTCACCCAGTAGGGCATTGGCTGCAGCAACCCCCTTCTAATTAGGAGGAAACAGTGAGTTCAAACAGACAAGGGTGATGACACAAGAAGCAGACAAAGCTGTCCCGTGAAAGGATGTGACAGCTCCAGTATAGTCTTCGTTTACCTTAACATTCTCAGCACTGGAAAGCTCATGTTTCAAAACCAGGGATTACAATGAAAACTGGTCTAGCTTTTTCACATGCATATACTGTTTGAGACACTCAGTCTGATTTTGCTGGATGTTATTTATTTGCTTTGTGTAAGGAAGAAGAATTACATTCTAGTATTTAGTCATTAACATGCTGCCTTCTCCCCAAAGCTGGGGCTCAAGGCAGTTAGTTTTATTTTTGCTACATAAGTTCGTTCCAATTCTTCCCTGTCTGAGAATTGCTGCAATAAAAGTTGGGTTGTATATCTTCCAAATAAGCTAACACGTGCAGATAAACAACTAAGAGAAATAAATACAAGCAAGAAGTCAAAACTCAGTTTCCTTCACAAATAGATCAGGTGGCCTCAAGGCATGTTGCAGTCATCCTCAGCCTCTTCCTCTCAACAAAATAAGAAGAAAGGGACATAATATGGAGCCCATATTTTGGGGTCAGATACTTGACAGAACCCTGCTAGTCCTCTGAGCTAATATAACTATGCTACAGGAGGGACAAGACCACAGATGTAAAGCAAGAAATGCCACCGCCAATATCCTGGATGAGCTCTACAAGCTGAGTATCCCTTCAGGAATTCTAAAATGGAAAATGTTTCAAAAACCAAAATTGTCCACATGGTTAACTAAGATAGTTGTACTTTTGATTTTGAGTAGGTCAATATACACAAACTTTTTTTCATGCACAAAATTATTTTCTAAACATTGTGTGTAAAATTATCCTTAAGCTATGTCTATGACCCATATATGAAATATGAGTGGCTCCCGTTTCCAAGGAGCTCATTATATATGTGCAAATATTCCAAAATCCAGAATACAGAATATTTCTGGTTCCAAACATTTCAGATAAGGGATACTAAACATGTTTTTCATATGAGTAGCAACCATAAATTGAACATACAACCCACCTCACCTTCAAAACCCACATTTTCTATGCTGTGCCCCACCAGCACAGCCATCTCCTGACTATTGGAGAATGTGAAATGCAGCAGAGAAGCATCTCACCATAGCACAACACACAGCAATAACATCATCCTTGGGAACCTCTAGAGGACCTCCAAGTCTCAAAGGATTTCGGTCACTATTCATTCACTGATTTAAAAAATAGTAGGATGTTTCTCTACCAGTTCCCCAATCCCGCCCCACTCTCTGCCAGCCAGGAAATAGTTGTGATGAGAGCAGCAGAGAGACCTGGTGAATAGGATTTTGGTTGCTGTGCCATCCACAGCAATTCCAACCTCCACAATAACAATAATAGTAAGTTGGACCTATGGAGAAATAGGTTGCTCATGCTATGTGGGCCTTCCCTGGCTTCTATTGCAAAATCCTGGAAAAAACACAATTGCTATCACATTGAACAGGATTTTCAACAGTACATATAATGCTAGATGTTGTTTGTTACTACTACAACAGCAAAGAAGAGAGCAATATATCTTCTAATGCAAGATCTAAAACACTCATTTTTCCATGCAGGACTCCACTGCTTACTTACCTTTTGGAATATCATGTTCAAGAGAATCCAAGAAATCAATGGCTGGATCCAAGTCAGCTTTCTCCAGGAGAGTTTTATTCTTCAGATTTTCAGGCTCAGTGAAATGGAAATAAGAGCTTAACTTTTTGCCCTCTGTCAACGACAAACCTGTTCCATAAATAATTAAAAAAATGGAACTACTTAAGAGTCTCTTTTTTAAAAAGATGGATACTTTCAAGTTTACTATAAGCACACTATCAAATGGACCTATCAAGTATTTGTGTACTGATGGCACTAAAAGAGCTCAGACAGAAAGATACAGCAACACCAGAAGCACTTGAAGTGGCCAGCTTCTGGTCAAAGGAAATTTAGTATAATGTTAAGTTTTTAACTTTCTTTGTGGGTTTTTAATACATTATAACTGGATTCTCAATTCATTTCTGACATGATAAATAAATACATAGCTAGAAAGAACTCTAGAAACTGAAAGTGCTATTCAGGGAAGTTATGAGCAATTCCACTTAAGCATCCCAATTTGAACTGGCAGTTAGGTAAAGGTAATCTTTTAATCTTTTGATGATTGCTGCAATCTTACTGAGGCTTATAACAAAAGAAGCATCCTTCAAGCAAATACTGTAACCAAAAACACTGCAGGATCAGGAGAAAGCCCAAAAGTTACTCCAAATAAAAAGTCATATAAACATTCTTATCTTTTTGCTCCACACAGTATTTATGTATTTATTTGTTTACTCTATTGATACTCTGCCTTTCTCTACCCCGAAGGGGACTCAAAGCGGCTTACATAGAGGCAATTATTCAATGCCTTAAAACACATTCAATTCCAAAATATTAAAATTAAATTAAATTAAAATTAAAACATATTAAACATTTTAAAACATTACATTCCATGTTAAAAGCACCTATGCTAATGGAATGTGAAGGTAGAAGCTTTCTTCTATACCTCTTATATTTCAGTATGGATAATAACAATGGTCACTGAGGTTGTAGAAAAGATTAAACATATTGGACTATTGAAAGGTTGTTTTCTTCTACTCTAGAGGATAGTAGATGAAGTAATGGATTTAAATTGCAGGAAAAGAGATTCCACTTAAACATTAGGAAGAACTTCTTAATGGTTAGAGCTGTTCAGCAGAGGAATATGCTGCCTCTGAGTGTGGTACAGTCTCCTTCTTTGGAGATTAAAAAACCCTGTATGGACATCTGTTGTGAATACTTTGATTGTTCCTGCATGACAGAATGGGGTTGGACTGGATGGCCCTTTTGGTCTCTTACAACTTTATGATTCTATGAATAAAGAATGAAACAATCTACACTCCTTTATGGTACAAGGGTCAGTTAAGATGTTGATCGCCGCTGCATAAAGTCAGAGATGCAGGAGGGATCTAAGATTGGCTTCCCTGTATCCTCATGAGGTCTCTGAGCAAACAACAGCAGAATGCCAATTCTTTGAAACAAGGATTCCAAACTGATCATATGGCAGCACTGGGCTAGGCACAGACTGCTAACATATGAAGCTGAAGTCTGAAACAGTTTAGCAGATTTAATGCTTAACACATTCATACTTTGCCCTGAGTGGGATAAATCAGAAGGATATGAAGAAACCTTAAAAACTGGCAATTCTGTTTGCTTTTTGGCAATATTCAGTCAGTATAAGCACATCCTACCCCCTGTTTCCAACTGCACACACGTGAGAACATTTCTGCATAGGTGCTTTTCATACATCCTATATTCTTAGATAGAGAATATAGCATTTTTATATCTGCCGTGTGAAAAGGGAAAACAGGTTACATGGGCTGCATGTGAACACTGGATGTCCCAGATACACAGAAATCCACATAATGTATTGGTTTTAACAAGCTAAATGTAAATTAAATGATTGGGCATGGTCACTTATGTACTGAAAAAACAAAATTGTCTATGACCTCGTATCAATTACCTTCAAAGTTCCTGTTTTCATGCACAGGTCCAAGTGGTGATTTTACATATGCACCTCGTGGAACGATACCCACTGCTTTGTCTATCTGATGTACTGTAGCTACAAGACGGGTCTCCTCTTTGATCAAAGTCTTTATTTTACAAATAAAAAAATATTAAGACATAAATGCCTTAGATGTTTAAACTTAGGCAATGAACATAATCAAAAATCTACAATTTGACAGGTATAATAATAAATGTCTATTACCAATCATTCAGCAATAGTAAGACAATAACAATACCAACTCTGTTTGAAACAATGTTTTTGTTTGGTTTCAGCCCTGGACTGCGCAAGTCTCTTGTGTCATCATGTCTCAAGACCTCAATGAGTAGCTAGACTAGAGGTAGGATTAAGCTAAGGAATTCCTTTCCCCACTTTACCATGAATGTTTCCCAAAAGGTCTTTGTCTTTCCTCCTCCTGCTAACCACTGTCTCCTCCCCCTTTGAATATGTAGGAATGGAATTCTGTGAAGGAACTCCCTCTTTTCAGTTTTATTGCCCTGGGATGACCATGTGGTCTCCGCCTTTGTCTCTTCCGTGTTTTCTTCCTTCCAGTGAGGACGCATTTTGCCTCTCTCTTTAGACAAAATGTAGCTGCATGGACTTTATTTTTGACTTTTTACCCTTTTACTTCTTTAGAAGATGAGATTTAGTAAGCCAGTTAGCTCCAAGATCTTTTCTATCTGGAATGTATTGCTTTTACTTCAATAAATATTTTTGAACCTAAAGTTCTCACTCTGCAATCCTGTGCCATCCTAAGAAATAGAAACTTATCCCAGCTCATCACACGTAAGTTTCTGCTGGTTATGAAGTTTACTTCTGGTTCTCTGCTATATTTATGGTGGAATCACCCCAACTGAAGGTTATTTTTGAGCCTAACAGCTCCGATTCCCCAACAATTTTCCTTTGGATGAGCTTAGGTCTCAAAATTACATCACATGTTGGAACTACCTCAGGGTGGGGTGGTTTAAATCCTGCATAAAATATGAGTATCTTGCTATATGGTACTGTCCCATTATCTGGGTGGAGGCCACTAGGGGCCACAAGAGAGAGGAGGATACTTTATTTGGGGGGGGGGGGAGTTGAGGGATGAAAACCATTTCCCCCATTGTTGCTGGTGATTCCCCCCCTCCCTTCCCCTTCCCATATGATAAAGGAGGGTTGTTTCCACGGTGGGGACATGGGTGGGGGGAATAACAGGAAAATTGGGAAATGGTTTTACTCCTTCAACCCACTGTCCACATTCGTTAAATGAAGTATCCTCTCTGTAGTGCCCCCTAGTGGCCTCTGTCCAGATAATGGAAGAATGGAACAAGAAATCTATTTTCATAAACAAGCACGACATGGGATTTTTATGCCAGTCAAACCCCAGATTAAAGATTGGTGAATATTACTGATTATTCACAGAGAACTTATGCAACTGGGCTCCTATTGCTATGTTATCACTATGACCTGGGGCCTTGCTTTTTTGTGAAAATTAGGAGACACAATTTTCTATTATACAAAAATTTGTGAAACCATTTCTATTCACCACTGTTATTCTTAAGTTCTCCATATGCTCAAACTGTTTTGCAGGATTTTATTCATTTTAATATGCAATGAAAAAGTATGTGCCAGCTTTAATTCTGCTTTAAAAAATCAAGTTGGGATGAATTGTTCAGTGTGATCCAATAAATCTAGGTCTGGAGCTGAGATTTAAAATCCAGGCAATCAGTGCATAGGGATTCTCAAAACCTAAATATTTAGTTGTAGTTAATACCATGACATATGAATAGAATTATTATTGAAACCATAAGAAGCTGGGTCCAGAAAAGTCCAATTTCCTTTTCTTCTTTACATCTTCCATCTCGCTTATTCTGTGCTGCTTGGGAAGAGCTGGCATTTCTCATCTCATATCTTAACTATGTTTTGATCAAATCCTCTCTTCAATATTGCTCCGTCCATATTATTTAACTATATGGTTCATTCTCATTAGTATTAAAATTTTAAGTCTTAATAAGTAAACCCAACGAACAGAGACCTTATCATTTACAGCTAGGTATGCAGGAAACCAATAACCAGTAGATTTAATGTTTTTAAACATTTACTGTATTTTAAAGAAAAACAGTAAACTAGCTCTGTAAGTGGAAAAGATGGGTCAACAAAAACAATATGGTGTCAACACTAACTTTATAATAATAATAATTAAAAATTGATTTGTATCCCACCCTATCTCCCCATGGGGACTCAGGTCGGCTTCCAATATAGTAACAAGGAGACATTCAAAGCCTATATAAACAATTCAAAGCTAGATCTAGATCTATAATTATGTACACTAATTTCACATATGCATTTCCCCTTGAAATATTTGTAAATCCTCTCTTTATATATGTGCATTTCTCTCCTGCAGTATTTGCAAGTCATATATATGTGTGTGTGTGTGTGTGTGTGTGTGTGTGTGTTGTTTATATCTATCTAGACATCTCTCTCTATGTGTGTGTGTGTGTGCATTTCCCCTGCAATATTTGTAAGCCCTATAGATCTATATTCTATATATATATGTCTATATATATTTGTGTCTGCATTTCCCCCTGTAATATTTGCAAGCCCTATATATCTATATTCATATATATATATAGCTATACATCTCTCTATATTTAGATGATTATATCTATATAGGATTTGCAAAGACTAGCAAACATGTGAGGGGGAATTTAATATATAAAATTATTTTTATATAGACACATATACATACACACAGATATATAGATATCTCTATACATTTATCTATATCTATATAGGATTTGCAGAGACTTGCAAACATGTGAGGGGAATTTCAAATATAAAAATAATGTATACATATAGATACAGATATACAGGTACATGGAAATCTCTTGATATCTATAAGTATATAGGATTTGCAAAGACCTGAAAACATATGAAGGGAAATTCATACATAAAATTAATGTATAAAGATAGATACAGATACATAGGTACATAGGGATTGCAAAGGCTTTTGCGGGGAAATGCCTCTATACCTGGAAAGATTAACAAATATTTCAAGGGAAAATGCTTTTATAAGATTAATGGATAGTCCTGACTTGCAAGGGCTTCTCTCCCCCTCCTTTCCCTTTTCAAAACATCCCAGCCTAGGAGGAGAAGTAGAGCAGAAGCAGAAAAGAAAACACACTGTTTAGAGAAGGGAATATGAGAAATATATCATATATTGCAAACAATGGCCTCCAGGCTCCACTGCCCAGCTTGACCCCATTATAAGCTGAGAGATACTTTTTCAGTCCATAAAAAGGTCTGAAAAACCTGGCTTATCTTCGAGTATATACGGTAGCTTAGTGATTTTTTTAGAAAACTTTCTAAGGAATAAAATATTTGCAATGTATTTATCAATTTCCTATGCTTGAAAAGTTAATGGAGCCCAGTTATAAACAGAAATGTTTAACCCTTTTGGAGAATTACTCGTGTCCAATTCTTTTCATTTCATAATGAAAAGGAAAATGAAACTGTAAATTATATAAGAGCACAGTCAATCCTCCTTATAATTTCCACAAGTAATTGTGGTGACTTAATGCTGTGCAAACATGTTGCACTGACAGGCTTTATGTATGATTTCATCCCAACCAATTAGAATAAAATCCCTGGAATCCCAGATGTAAATTCATGGTTTCATCACTTTGAAACAAACAACACATCTGAATTATCTGAACAAAACAGCTGCCAGCGTAATAAGCCATCAGAAGCACTTGTGGAACTCGTCCCAAGTTAAGAAATAATAAACTTTCAGCCATAGCAAATTAAACATAGTGAATCAACTGATGTTATCCAAAGCAGTTCATGCATGGGGCAAGGGAAATCTGGCAGGTATCTAGCAAAAAGACCACCTGGAAATCTGATGCACTCTTAAAAGTCTGGAAGGATATAAATGTAAAATCATTTTTAAAAACAGTGAAAGAAAGCAATACAAAAGAGGGGAAAGGAGCAGATTTCTTTTAAAACACATGCAAGTTGTGAACAAATACATTGTGAGCAATAAAATGAAAGGATAGTGGAATTGCCCAATATACTCACTGGAACTTCCTCTTCATATGGCCTTTCGGGGTCTTCTTTCTTATCGGGCTGTTCATATTCATAAGATGGATCCCCTTGGAAGCGTCCTTTTAGTCCTGCAGTCAGTGTAACCATTTCCTCAGTAGGAGGGGGCAGAAGGCTCCAGTCAACACAGTTTAAGCTATGAACAACACATATAACAAAGGGGAACATTTATATCCCATCCTTCTCAACCCCCAGGAGGCGGGGGGGGGGGAGACTCAGGGCGGCTTACAATCGGCAACCATTAGATGCCAACAACAACAAACAATGACAGTACAAAACAAATTAAGATTAGATAAACAACAAAATTATAAATATACATTTAAATATTAAAACACAACCAAAGCCCAAATCCAAATCAGTCCAGACTTCCAGTCCAAGGTCTAGCCATTAAGATCGTCTGAGGAGGCACTGCTCTTGGTCCCACCTCCTTCCCAGGCACAATTGGCAGAGATGAGAGAAAGGACCTTCTCAGTGGTGGCCCCTCAGCTGTGGCACTCCCTCCCCAGGGATATTAGATCAACCCCTCCCTCCTGACCATCCAGAAGAGAGTGAAAACGTGGCTTTGTAACCAAGCCTTTAGAGAACTTATGCAACAGATAGACTTGGAACAATGTGCAATGACTATTGGAACAGCCTGGATTATGCTCGGGGATTACATTTTGAACTCTGAATGTATTGTTTTTAAATGTTTTAATTGTTTTTAATATACTTTTAAATTCTATTTTAATATTTATTTAAATGTACATTGTGTTTTAAGGCATCGAATCATTGCTTGTAAGTAAAGCCGCTTTGAGTCCCCTCCACAGTGAGAAAGGCGGGGTAGAAATATTGTAAATAGATAAATAAATAAATGTACATACAAAACTGGGTCTAAATATCTACAAAGCAAGAGGAGGAGTGCAATTTAAAAGACAATGCAGACACACAAGAAAGGGAAGATGAGCTTTCCCTCTTGTGGTCTCCTGTTAAGCACTCAATTAAAAAAAGCCTTTCTTTTTTCATGTGGAGGCTCCACATGAAAAAAGCCAGAAGAAAAATGCTTTTTGAAACACTTTTTTAAAAAATTGAGGAAAGATGTGAAGCCAGGAAACAGCTGACTTTGCACACTGACTGGGAGGCTATCCTACTAATGAAAACAAATCTCTGGTTCAAGTTTTTTCTGCCATGAATGCATCAATTTGCTCAGTGACTATGTGATGTTTTCTCTCAGCTTCAACACCACTCCCACCACAATATGAATTAGAAAGTACTAATTTTTCTTAGAGTGGGGATGAAGATCATGCGATCTTCCAGATGTTGGACACAGATTCCCAATATTGCTCATCACTGGATAGCCAACTTAGGCCTGGGTTATTGTAGGTTTTTTCGGGCTATATGGCCATGTTCTAGGGAGGCCTGCTTGAAGCTGAAGCCCTACTGAACTTCATGGGCCATATGATTCTCACTATGACCCCCAGGATTATTCTAAGGACTAAACTAGATTATGCACATGAAGTTATTCAAAAAGTCCTATTAAAACAGTAGCTTTTAATATAAATTGCTCATTCTGCTGGTGTTGCAAATTAAATTATTTCAAGACACCTACTGATCCATGAACATGTTTTATAAACCATCAGCAAGACATACTGGTTACAATCCTGCATGGTTCAGTATAACTTAGTTCCACATTCCCAAGCATAACAAGGGACCTTCCAGGATGCAAGGTAGGGATGCTAAAGTTTTAAGATCATTCATGCTTTAAAGAGAGCAGGGGAAGGGATTCAGAAGCATCCAGATACGTTCCCATGGCTAAACATGAAGCAACTTCATCATCTGCTGAAGTTCACAGAGAACTTCAAGAGGTCTCAACTATTACTTTGTATCTGGCTATGGAGATGTAGAGTGCATCTATACTGTTGAAATAATATAGTTTGACACCACTCCAACTGGCTTGGCTCAATGCTGGGGAATCATCAGTTTTTCAAGAACTTTAGTCTTCTCTGCCAGAGAATGCTGGTGCCTCACCATACTACAAATCCCAGAATCCCAGTGTTCCTTAGCATTGAGGTTGGTAGTTAAAGTGGTGTCAAAAAGTGGTGCATTCGTTCTAAAATGTATATGCAGCCATAGCTAGATATTGCTGTGATACCAACTTCCTCTAAGTTCAAAAGTAGACAGACATACATGGACACAGGCTTAATTTCTTTTGTGTTTGCCACTAACAAATTCCCAGACATTGAGTGTAAAGTCCTCCCAGTGCTACTTTGTATTCCAACTTCAATTCCTGTGCATTAACTCAAACACATTTTGGTGCATCCACTCTGTGGAATTAATGCAGTTTAGCATTTATTTATTTATTTATTTACCATATTTATACGTGTTGTCAGATAAGTGCAATTTGACAACCTGAATGGCTTCAGACTACAATTTTGGATCACGTGTTTTTAAATGTTAATGTTAAGATGTTTTAATTTTCTGTGTTGTCTAAAAGTTAATTTTTATCGTGTCAGGAGCAAACCAAACAGTTGTATTGTATTTTTAAAAAAAACACAAAGTTTGCAAACTTGGCATTCTATTAAATGTCCTTTGACCAGTAGATGGCCACTTGAAATGCCTCTGGTGTTGCTATAAGGAGGTCCTCCACTGTGCATGTGGCAGGGCTCAGGTTGCATTGTAGTAGGTGGTCTGTGGTTTGTTCTTCTCCACACTCGAATGTCGTAGACTCCACTTTGTAGCCCCATTTCTTAAGGTTGGCTCTGCATCTCACAGTGCCAGAGCGTAGTCTGTTCAGTGCCCTCTAACTCGCCCAGTTTTCTGTGTGCCCAGGAGGGAGTCTCTCAATTGGTATCAGCCATTGATTGAGGTTCTGGGTTTTAGCCTGCTACTTTTGGACTCCCACTTGCTTATGTTTTATGTTTAATGTGATATCAATGGTTTTAATTTATAGTTATATGCCATTGTTTAAGTTATATGCTTTGTTTGTATGTATGTTGGCATTGAATTTTGCCATTATTTGATGTACATCATTTTGACTCCCCCTCCCCCCAAGGGGTAAGAAAAGATGTATATAAATATAGTGAATAAATAAATAATTTATATGCCGCCCTTCTCACCCTGAAAGGAACTCAGAGCGGCTTACAAGATATATATATACATACAATATATTTTATTATTAGCATAGTACAATATCAGTATTAAATATTACTATATTGTACTATGCCATTATATTGCAATATTATTAGTACTATTACATGTAATATAAATATATAATTATAATATTGTATTATTAATAGTAGTATTATATTGCATTACATTATAATACTAGCCGTCCCTTGCCATGCATTGCTATGACCCAGTCTGTGTATATTTATTTATTTATTTATTTATTTATTTTATTTAACTTGTATACCGCTACTCCCAATTTGGCTCGGCGCAATTTACAGAAGCAGATTAAAACAATACAATTATGTGTTTTGTGTATGTATGTATGTTTGTGTATATATGTATATGTGTTTGCTTGTGTTTATATATGTGGTTTTGCACATATGTTGTAATGTATTTTTCGATTTTTGGCTTCTAAAGTCTCTTCTGCTGTATTTTTCAGTGTTTTTATGAGTGAAGGTCACTCGCTGGCCTGATAGGTGTATTGTGTCCAAATTTGGTGTCAATTCGTCCAGTGGTTTTTGAATTAATCCCACAAACTAACATTACATTTTTATTTATATAGATAAATATTATATGTATATACAATATATTACCTTATATTATATTATAATATATGATTCCATAGCATGGTGCCATGGCAGTTAAAGCGATATCAAACTGTACTCATTCTTAGCATCTTCTGCATCCCGCAGAATTCTGGGAAATGTAGTTTGGGAAGGCGAGGTTCTCCATAGTTGAGAATTCCAAAGGCTCCGTCCTAAACGACATTTCCCAGAATGCTACAGGAAGCGCAAGACGCTAAGACTGCACTTTAAAACGCGAGCCTGATTTTGGACTTCAATTCCCAGAAGCCTCGGCGGCTTTGGCCAATGAGGAGGAATCCTGGGAATTGAAGTCCCAAACCCTTAAAGGCGCTGAGGGCGAGAGCACAGAGAGAGAGACCTGTAGAGGCGGCTTCGGGTCCCGGCTCTGTCCGGGCCTAGTCCTTCGGCGATGTAGTAGGCCCCGCGGATGCCTTGGATACGGCCCCACAGGCGGACTTGCTCGAAGCGGTAGTCGCGGCGCACTAGCAGGAGGGAGTTCCGCAGGGCCGCCCGCTTCTCTGGGCTGAGGCATACGCCGCTACTCGCCACCAGGTCCAGCGCGTAAGGCAGCGCCTCCGCGTCCATGGCGCCTCAGTGCTGGACCGGGCCCGCCGCGCGCTCGCGTCCCGTTGCCAAGGTGACCCGTTGCCTTGGAGACGGCCTACCCGCTGGAGCAGGCATGGGCAAACTTGGGCCTTTCCTCCTGGTGTTTTGGACTTCAACTCCCATCATTCCTAACAGCCTGAGGCCCCTTCCTTTTCCCCCTCAGCCGCTTAAGCTGCTGTGAGGGAAAAGGAAAGGGCCTCAGGCTGTTAGGAATGGTGGGAGTTGAAGTCCAAAACACTTGAAAGGAAGGCCCAAGTTTGCCAATGCCTGTTCTGTAGGCATATTAAAACCACTATACAAAAAATGCCAGGCATTTTTCATCCTCCAGCTGGCACCCTGGAACCTGGGAGCCATATAGATAAAAAAAAATAAATAAACATTACCCAAAATCAAGTAATTTCTCCATGGAGAAAATGGTTTGCAGAGGATAGGGCAGCCTCTCCTTTAATTTAAACCAGTTGTTTGATCTACCCAGCTAACCCTATCCAAGAGAAATATTTCTGTAGCCTTATAAAACCTCCATATATTATGGCTTTTTAAAGGTTTTGCCAAAAACAACTTTTTGTGCAAACTTTAATTCTATTTTGTGGCCTCTAGTACACGCATCTTAGACACACAATGCACGGACGTTTCTAGATTTGACTTCAATCAAAAGCAAGGAATTAGACTACAGTGTTCTGTTGCTACTTCGCGGTATGCTTTTAGGGGACTTGCTGTTTTGCGGGGTTTTGAAAATATTAAGAAAAATATTAAATATTTACGTCCAGGGGAGGCCAGGGACCCCGGAAGTGCGGTGGCCTGAGGCAATTTGTGATGGTGGTGAAATCCAGACTGCATTAACCTCATCACTCCACTTAAGCATTCTTAAATATTGGCATCTCAGGACATTTTGTTTACCTTTTAAGCTATTAATTATTCTAACTTACGTACCAAATGATGCCTGGGTGAGATAATTTGTAACACTTTTATTTATTTATTTCTTCACTATATTTGTAACCTGCCTTTCTCAGTCATACGGCGACTCAAGGCGGGTTACAGATTGGCACAATTCAATGTGAGGCATTCATAAAAGTGCCATTAAAAACAATCAACATTACAATATAAAACATATATAAAAACATTAAAACATATAATCATTGGTGTCATCCTAGTAAAACTGAATTACTGTGTCATGAAATGATGCATGTCTAAAAAGTCATCAACATGAAATATTTGGAAAGCTCTGTGGTAGACCTTTATCTCCTCTGGGTTTATTTTATCCTCTCTCCAGTACCCCACACCCCGCCTATCAGCTGTCTTGTTTGATCCAATGAGATAAGAGATCTCCGTTGAACATCATTTATGTCAACCATAACATTGTTTTTCTTCCAAATCAGCTTCTCAAAGATAAGATTTTAAAAAACCCTGGATGCGGTGAGATCTTAGTTTTCAATGCCTTCTATCAGATTAAATCAGTCTTTTTGATTGCATCAGCCATCACGGCACCTGTTATGAGTTTATTATCAGTCAAGTGTGTTCATATCTTTGTTTACAATTGAACAGGCATTCTGCCAGAGATTAAACTGTCACTAGGATATCAGTGGGATACACACATTCTGCATTACATGGAGCTTTCTGTTTTCTATTTGGTGTATAAAACATTATTTTTGTCTGGTAGGCTTATATTTGTCAAATTGAACCCAAATCAGGCTCTGTCAGACCTCTGCAGGGCATACACAGACCACAGTTTCTCCATCCCAAATCTACCTAACTAATCAGTCCTGGTGGATAATAAAGCTCACAAAACTTGTAATCTGGTACTTGCAATCTTGTAATCTGGTACTTGCTGTTGTATGCTATGAATCAAGCAAATATTATTAAAGACACAGTAAGCTTCCATGCTCTCAAAGGAAACTAAACTTGGTATAGATACCTTGGGAACTTCTAATAGTTTGGAAGTAGGATGTGCACAACAGCATATAACAGGTGTGTTTTAATAATGGAACATGAAGGAGATGGATTTTTAATAGAAATTTCCAAATGGAAATACTGTACCTGTCATAGAGTATGCTAGCCTTTTGTCTTATGATTACTTAAGAGGCTGATAAAAATGAGTATTTGGAGCTACTAGGATTCACATATTTTAAAAAGCTGTGGTGTTCTTGCATACTATTCTGATTTAATTAAGGAGTATCTGAATTCTACAGAGTTATACAGGGCAGCTAACACAGATGGGGAGAGATTGACAACTTCTGGATGTCACTCAAATGGCAGTGCTGAGAATCCCAAAGGTAGTGCAGGGGTCATGCTGAAGTGCAGCCAAACAACGGAGCCCAGGAAACAGCTCTGAAGAACACAGTTATGCTCCCCGCAATTGCTATAGAGCTTTTGGTGTCCTGGCCTCAGGGGATGCCAATTAGAATAAATTGAGGCTGTAAATTTTATTAGATGAACACCTATCCAGTATGAACTGGCCAGGGACCCCAGATTATATGAGCAGGGTCAGCTAATCAATCTCAGGTGCTAATGAGTTTTCCACTCTTGAGCGCAAGCAGAATTCAAAGCAGATGTCAGAGTTGAAAGCTCATTATTTCATAAGCAGTTTATAAGCCACTCAAGCTCTGCTTCCCACCCATTTTGGCTGGACATTATTAAAACAAAACAAAAAGGAAAAGGGGGGGAAAGGGAAATCGGGTGGCCGAAGACAAATTCTTCCAGGTTCTGTAAAGCCGGGTGAGGTAAATGAACTCTGCTGGCTTTTTCCTGACCCCCAATTACTAAATACTGATAACGATCAGAAAGTAAGTGACTGGTATTATTTAACAAACGGAAGGTCAGAAGCCCTGCCTTTCATCAAGGTCAAAGGTTACCATCACTGTCATTAAACAGTATGAAAGTGATCTTTCCTTGGATCAGGCTCCTCTATTAGGATGTGCCTCCCCACATCACATATAAAAAATGGTTTTGGAGAAAGACTTTAGGGGCTTTGCCTCCTCCCACTATCACAATGCCCTCCTTTTCTACAGTAACACATACATCACATCGCTGACTGGATCTACACTGCCATATAATCCAGTTTCTGAATCCAGCTGTTTTTTGTTTGTTTTTTGAACTGCATTATATGAGTCTACACTGCCATATAATCCAATTCAAAGGAGATAATAGTCATCATAATCATTTGGGGAGCCACCATCTCCCCAAAGGGACTCAGGGCAGCTCACAGAGGCACTCCCAAGTGCCACATGCAGACAACAATACATAAGTATAAATACACCGACATAAGTATAATCAATAGTGCATAAAATAGATAATCTGGATTCAGAAACTAGATTATATAGTAGTGTGGATGGGTGCTCCTTCAAAATTAAATTGATGTCCTTTGACTCTCAGAAGGCTAAGAGAGATGGGAATGCCAAGTACTGCAAAATGCAAAACTCTGCCAAACTGAAAAGGGCCGTTCAAATCAGCCTCACCTACAGAAGGCTATCCATAATAAGGAACAATGTTTTTATCATTCTGCGTGCTTGTCCCAATGCAACAGAATTAGAGATTAGGAGAAATACACTTTTTCCCTGGTCCTCTAACTAGCCAGACTGTGTGAACTAAGCATCTTCCAAGAAGATAATTTTTCCAGTCTCTGGAAGACCACTAGCCATGTTGCAATCTGCAGCAATTCATCTACAAAAACAAATTAAATACACTGCACAAATGATATTTTATGTCACTTGGACTTATTAAAAACGGACAGGATATAAATACAGGGTTAGTCAAAATGAATAGGCCAATAAGAAAATTAATTTTAGACGAATGTATGTTTACTGTAACCAAACCACAGCTACGTAGCGACAGATAAACTATCAAAGTTTTTTTTGAGCAACACACATGTACGTTAATGCCGCTAGGGGTCGCTGTTTTCAAAATGGCGGAATCAAGCAAAGAGAAGGCGTTTTGTGTGATGACATTTGCTAAAACAATGTCAGTAATTACGGTCCAGCGAGAATTTCAAGGGTTAGGGTTAGGGATAGGGTTAGGGATAGGGTTAGGGTTAGGGTTAGGGTGGTTAGGGTTAGGGTTAGGACCTCAACGAACACCTTCCCAGACGTTGCTGCATTCGATGCCATTACGTCGGATGTGCTGCAACGGATGTGGAATGAACTGGACTATCGCTTGGACATCTGCCGTGTCACACGGGGCGCCCATATCGAACATCTCTGAAGGTGAGACAAAACTTTGATAGTTTATCTGTCGCTACGTAGCTGTAGTTTGGTTACAATAAACATACATTCGTCTAAAATTAATTTTCTTATTGGCCTATTCATTTTGACTAACCCTGTACATTCAGGAAAAATTAAGGGATGATCCAGCACCAAGGAAGTAGATTCAGATACTGCAAGTTCCAGTGCTCCCTTGTTTCTCACATACTGCTGCCTTTCTCCCTTTCTTGGTTTGATCTGATTGAACAAACTACAGCGATAGCTTTTTCAAAAAGCCTCGTCTACACCAGTTGCTTCATCTAGACTGAGCCGAATTGGCCTCAGATTGACCATGATGGTGGCCATGCACACCAGGCCAAACCATCAATAGCACTACATTGTCCAGATGAGTTAAAACTTCATCAGCCCCTTGTCATACGTCTCATCATTGCTGCTCCCTGCCAGCCGTAAAGCTCCCTGCAAGCACTTTGCTGTCACAATCATGTTTGCTGAAGTCGTAACAGAATGCCCACATGTTCAGCAAGGAAGGGTAGAGTGACCCCGTCCATTGGTGATCTCACGGGTGCCCCATTCTGAAATCAAAAGCCAAGTGCTCAACAAGCTGATGAGCCGCAACTAGTGACACAGGGATGACCCATCCCTTTCTCTGCTGATCATTGCAGAAAGAGGGTGATGGCACCAATGAGCGTGTGGACAGCTGATTGAGCCAAAGCCAAAGATTCTGGAGTTTCCTGCAATTTCAAGTATCCAAGACTTGGCTTAATGCGTAGCAAAGTCAGGTTAAGTGCTAAAACACTGGATTCTTA